AAAAATATTTGCAGAAGTAGTAGCAAAAAATTTCCCAAACATGAAGAATCTGATATACAGATAAGTAAGACATACAAAATTCCATAGAGTCATAACCAAAATGAATCAATATCCAGACATAGAATAATTAAGATCCCAGACATATAAAACAGAATACTAAAAGCTGTTAGAGAAAAGACACAACTCACCTATTAAGGAAAGCCCATTAGAATCACAGCAGACTTCAGCAAGTTAAGATGAGATTGGAGTGAAGTATTTCAAGCCTTAAAAGAAAGAAACTTTCAACCCAGATTGATATGCCCTGAAAAACTTTCTTTGAAATGTAATGGAGAAATAAGATACTTCCATGACAAAGAACAACTGAAAAAAATTCATGTCCACCAAACCAACTCTAGAAAGAGTACTGAAAGACATACTAGAGAGAGAGAGAAACTACTGACAGGGCAAGCAATAAATATGGGGAAAAAGCAGAAACCCAACAGCAGGAAAATAACATGACAAAGTTGAGTCAGTACATATTAGCTATATCCATCAAGGTAAATGGCCTCAATTCACCAATTAAAGAAATAGGTTGACATAATGGATCCACAAATAGTAACCAACAATATGCTATATGTAAGAAATACACCTGATTCAAAAGGAAACTCATAGAATAAAAGCCAAAGGTTGGAAACAATATTCCATGTGACAGGAAGCCAGAAAAAAGCAAGGATACCTATTATGTTTGCAGACAATGTGAACTTATAACCAAAAATGATCAAAAGAGATAAAGAAGATCACTACATACTTGTCATGGGAATAATTCAGGAGGGAGAGCTAACAATCATAAACATATATGCACCAAATACAGGAGCACACAACTATATAACACAAGTCCTAATATGAAAAACCAAATAAGCAGCAACACAATTATAGTAGGGGATCTTAGTACCCCATTGTCACAAAGAAACAGATCAACTAGACAAAAAATCAGCAAAGAAATAATGGAACTGAATCAAACCTGAGAACAAATGGACTTAGTAGACATTTACAGAGTGTTGTGCCCAACCACGTTAGAATTCACATTCTTCTCAGTTGTGTATGGGATATTCTCCAAAATAAACCATATATTAGCTCATAGAACATTCTGAGGTAAACGTAAAGGGATTGAAATTATTCCATGAATATTATCTGACCATAGTGCATTGAAATTGGAAATTAATGGCAAAAGAAATTTCTAGAAATGTATGAATTACCAAAGCTGACTCAAGAAGATATAATAATTTTGAATAACACAATATCAACTACTGAAATTGAAAATGCGACAAAAAACTTAGCAACAATGAAAAGCCTAGGTCCTGATGGATTCACAGATGAATTCTACAAGAAATTTAGAGAAGATTTAATTCCAATTCTCCTTCAGACTCTTCATTGAAATTGAAAGGGAAGCAATCCTCCCTAAATCATTCTTGGAGGCATGTATTACTCTGATACTAAAACCAGACAAAGACCCAACCAAAAACAAGAACTATAGGCTAATCTCACTAATGAACATTGATGCAAAGATTATCAATAAAATGCTGGCAAATAGAATGCAACAAATCATCAAAAAGATTATACATCATGAGCAAGTGGGATTTATCCCAGGAATGCAGGGATGGTTTAAAATATGCAAATCAATAAATGTAATACACCACATCAACAGAGCCAAAAACAAAAATCACATGATCATCTCAATATATATAGAAAAAGCTTTTGATAAAGTCCAACACTGGTTCATTATGAAAACCTTATAGAAACTCAGAATAGATAGTGTCTACCTCAATTTGATAAAGGCCATCTGTGACAAACCAACAGCCCACATTATACTAAATCAACAAAAACTGAAAGCTTTCACTCTAAATCAGGAACAAGACAAGGATGTCCACTATCACCATTTCCTATTCAATATAGTTCTGGCAACATTAGCCAGAGCAATCAGACAAGAGAGAGAAATAAAAGGTATAACGATAGGAAAGGAAGAAGTTAAATTATCACTATTTGCAAATAACATAATATTCTACATAGAAGACCTTAAAAACTCCATCGAAAGACTACTTAGAGTTAGTAAGCAAATTCAGCAGTGTAGCTGGATACAAAGTCAACATTCAAAAATCAATAGTATTGCTGTACACAAACAGCAAACTCACTGAGAGAGAAATTATGGAATAACACTTTTCACAATGGCATCCAAAAAAATGAAATACTTAGGAATCAACCTAGCAAAGAATGTAAAATACCTATATGCTGAAAATTAAATTACTGTAAAAAAGATCAAAGAGGATTTTAGAAAATGGTAAGATATCTCTTGCTTTTGGTTAGGAAGAACTAACATTGTGAAAATGGCCATACTCCTCAAACTGTTATACATATTTAATGCAATTCCAATCAAAATACCATTAACATATATTAAATATCTAGAGAAAACATTTCTAAAATTCATTTGGAAACAGAAGAAACCTAGAATAGCAAAGGCTATTCTGGGCAACAACAGCAAGACAGGAGGCATCTCAATTTCTGACTTGAAATTATACTACAAAGCTAGAGTGATAAAATCAGCATGGTACTGGCAAAAAAATAGACCTGAGGATCAGTGGAAAAGATTATAAGATGCAAACACAGCTGCAATGATACTCACTTACTTTATATTTGATAAAGGTTAAACATGTTCACTGGAAGAAAGACAGCCTCTTTAATAAATGGTGTTGGAAAAATTGGCTTTCCACATGACAAAGAGTGAAACTAGACCCATGTCTATCACCGTGCACTAAGCTAAAGTCAAAATAGATCAAAGATCTAAATATTAAAGAGAAACACTAAATCTACTGGAAGACAAGGCAGGTAGAAATCTTGAAGACATAGGGGTAGGCAAAGAGTTCATGAACAAGACACAAACTACACAGGAAGTACTTCAAAGAATCAACAACTGGGATGTAATCTTATTAAAAAGTTTTTGCACTTCAAAAGAAATCACACAGTGAAAGTAAAACCCACAGAATAGGAAAGAATTTTAGGCAGCAGTCCCTCTATAAAGAATTGAAAAATATCAAGACCCCCACATTCAAAGACCTACTCCAAAAATGGGCATCTGAGATGAAAACACATTTTCTTAGAGGAAGATTGGAAGTCTCATTCAATCCAGCTATTCCCTTCCTGGATATTTTCTCAGAAAAATTGAAAATGTTATGGGTACGATATAGGTGGTGTACTCATGTTTAGAGCAGCATAATTTGTAATAGCTAAATCTTGGAAACAACCAAAATGCCCATCAACTGCAGAATGGATGGAAAAATGTGTTACTTTTATATAATGGAATATTACTCAACTGTAAAGAAGGATGATTTTGAGGCTTTTATAGGTAAATAGAGGCAACTGGAGACTATACTTGTAAGTGAAATAAATCAGACTCACGTTTGTAAATATCATATTGTCTCTCTAGTGTAAAAATACTGAAAAGAGAAATAAGATTCAAAATGTACAATAAATGTTTTAATAATGCAAAGGAAAGAAAGTGCAGGTATGCTCATATAACTATATATATGTTTAAGTGTGTAAGATGGATAACCATACTACTAATTCTGTTAGTTCATCAAAAAGAATAGTTTATGCTGTCATTGTTTGTGTGTTTATTTGTTATGTTTAGATTTTATAACTTGAACAACTATTTCTTTTTTTATTTTAAAGAGAATAAGCCAAACCAAAACAAAACAAAACAAAGCAAAGAAGAGTAAAACAATGCAAATCACAAAAGATTTCAGAACAAGAAGGCAGGAAGTCAAGTGGCTACCATAATGTCTTTTGTTTTCTTCAAAATAGTTGTTCATATCTTCACACATAATAAGTTAATACACATCAAAATAGTATAAAAGCAATCAAAACTCAAGAATGAGAGCCTTAAGGGCTTTCAAGACCAGAAACAAGGAAATCAATAATGGCTACCACAATGTCTTGTGTTTTGTCCAAAATAGCTGTCCAGATCTTCATATATATTGGAATCAAGTAATTGAAAACAAACTAAAACCAATCAAAACCAAAAATAAAAAGCATTATTGGCTTTCAAATAAAAATGATAGGAAATCATCAATGCTACTGTGGTGCCCCATTTTCTTCAGTGTAGTTGAACAACTATTTCTATGATAATATGTAATACATTAACTAGTTGATTTCTTACTGTTTTTTTGAAATTCTGTATTTCTACCTTTTTTCTGTTTTGTTTTTTAAAAAAATCAGTGATATCTATTTAGAATTGGTTAGTTTTTTTTTTTTTTTGAACTGTATAACTAAATGGGTTTGGCACTGTTTCTTTCTGTCATTTATATGTGAGGATACTGAAGCATAGAGTGGTTAAGTAACTTGATTAAACTCAAACATCAATGAGACCATAGATTAGACTGAGAAATCAAACATTTTGACCTGACCCAACCCTTAACATAATTCTGCTGCCTTTTGCCTTCTTACCATGAGTCTAATTTTCAGCCTCCTCTATCTGCACAGGTCCTGGCAGTGAGGAATTGGTCTCATGTATCTGCCTCACACAGTGTGCCATGTGTCCTGCCTTCCCACTAGCTGGCCTGGACACAGGAGATTCCACTGTGGTGATGCTTGCTGACCTCACACTGGTGGCTCCATAGAACCGAAACATTCTGTAGGGAACAGAGCTTCTGATTTCCTCAGACAAATACAGGGCAGGTGTTGGACTATGGATAAACATTTCATTTCATCTGTGTGACAAAAGACTGACCACTTTAAAGCAATGAACATGGTTCAACCTTCTTTCATGTTTGTGTTTTTGTTTTTACTGGAAAGTCCTCTTTATGTGTGCTTGCGTTATGCAGATGGGTTTCATTCTATTGGAAAAACAACAGGCTTTGCAGGTAGTCTTAACCATTGGTTTTCTTAATTCAGAGGAATTTAAAAAAACTTTATGGAAAGATAAATAAGAGAGTAATTATCTCATCATTACAAATGTTATTCTCTTCTAGGCAATAAAGTGTCACAAACATTCAGAAATGTCATAAAACAGCCCAGAAGTTTCTTTGATATAATCAGATCTCCTGGGATTCCAAATTTTTCCTTGAGACCTAAAGGTCAGTCATTGCTTTCTTCATTAAGTGAAAGGAGAACTGTGGTCCTCTTATTTGTTGTGTGAAGATGCACTGATATGCAAGGTCCATACAATAGGCTGGGTGTGGTGGTACGTGCCCCTTTAGGTTGAAGCAGGAGGATCAAAAGTTAAAGCCCAGATTGGAAATTTAGTAACTTAGTGAGACCCTGTCTCAAAATAAAACATGAAAAAGATCTGAGGATGTAGCTCAGTGCAAAAGTTTTGAGTTAAATTTCCAGCACCACAAAAAAAATATAATTAGATAAAATGCAGAGTCTGTCAAGAAATGCATACACACTCCAGGCAAAGAAAAACTTATATAAATATTTTAATATTAAATATAGTGAGATCTAGTGAGATTCGTACAATGTACCTTTGGCCTCTGCAATTACAACAGGTGCTCAAAGTGGTAGCCATTGGCTTCCAGACATTTATTAGCGTGGCGAACTGCTGCTTGGGTAACCTTGTCATTGAGATTGTTACACGTGCGTTTTCAATTTCTTCTTTTGGGGCCAATAAGTTAGTGAGTTTTCTGCCATATATGACATCCTCTAGGGTCCCCCACACTAGAGTAACAACATTTAGTGAAAAAAACATATTATTTTTCTTTTCTTGAAGGGTATATGTATGTATTTTTGGCAGACTATGTATTCATTGGTTTGGAAATGAAATACTTTGTTACCATTCTGTGACAATTATGCTTTCTTGTTAGGGCTTGCCTCTTTCGCCTTCACCTCACATAGAAGTGCACATGGAAGCATCATCTCTGCTCAGCTTAGAGGCATGTGCCTGTGTGACTTTAGTTGCAATCTAAGGCATGTGTTTTGGAGGCAAGTGCATGCCTCCAAAAATGTTCTGCCAGTGCGTGTCCTTCTTTCAAAACCACATACCTTCTGGGCTTTGATTTTGACTTGAGAACCAAAAGAAGCCATTTATCAAGGATACTGGAGCCAACTCTTATGATCTTTGAAGGAGGGGATCCTTCAAAGAGATATATGTGTGTCATAGTTACTTTTCTTGTTACTGAGACAAAATACTTGACCCCCAAAGATAAAGGAGGAAAGGTTTATTTAGCCTACCGTCTGTAGAGGTTTTAGTCCATTACTGGCTGGCTCTATGGCAAGGTGGCAAATGGCAGAGGGGGCAACAGTTCATGGTAGTAGAAGATAGCAAAATCACCAAGGATGGGGGCAAGACAAGCCTTTTTCTGTGCTTTGTATTTGTATCCTTGCTACCAGGACTAGGGTGATGCCAGTCCAATCAATGGACTGATCCAGCAATCGTACATCCTTAATCCCAGCATTGTGTCCACAGCTACACACTCTAGATTCAGCCACTTCTGAAAAACCCCTATGACTACATAAGACTCTGGGGGACATCTAGACACAAACCACAACAGCATGTAAACTATCTCATTCCTTATGGGGAAACTCTGGCAGTTAGATATGATTGCATCTAATGTGTGTCTGAGGAAAGAACACCACTGTTGACCTCCTGCCACTGACTCTCTGACCTCCTGATAGAACATGGCCCCCTGCATCTCTCCCTCTCTCCAACTCCTCCACCTGGGATGAGGTTTCTCAACATGGAGTCCGGATGTGCTAGATTCTTTTCCATATTCATGAAAGGAACCACTGTGTGTAAATAGAGCACCATCTTCTGCAGATTAACACATATTTTATACCAGGCACTGGGATAAATTTATTAACATTTACTGTCTTAGATACTTGGAATTTGTGTGTTTGCTCCCTTGTTATACCAAGCTGTGTCTAAATCTGTCTCAAACCTTTCTCTTCTTTTTTATCTTCTTCATTGGCCTTCTAACTGCAGTACCGACTAAGCCCATGAATTTGCTGAGGAATAAAGGTCAGTCAAGGGATCTGGGAGGGCAGTGGGATGTGTAAACACTCCTAAGGCTGTCGTGGTATGCACTCTGGGGACACAGAATAGACAGCACCTCTCTGCAGCCACCTTGTGGGTGACTGGGTGAGTAACGGTGCAGATCTGGAAGTAGCACAGCTGTGTGGACTGAGGTCATGGCAACAAAGCACAGCAACAGCAGCGTGGCAAATGGCAGAGGGGGCAAACAATTCATGGCAGTGGAAGATAGCAAAATCACCAAGGATGGGGGCAAGACAAGCACAGGTGGAGACTGAGATTGGGTGCCCCTGGGGGACACAGAGAATGCACTGACCCCAAAGCACTCTTTCTGGCTTCTTCTCCACTCTTGGTTTTTTCTCCTGGCCCTCCTGGGACCTCCTAAGACCACCTGAATCAGAGTCCTCTAAACCAGAAAGCCATCTCTCGTAGGATTGCTGTTCCTCCCACCTCAGATGTGCTTTCTCTCTGCAAGGGCACTTTTTTCTGATTTTTCTGAGAAAGATCAGGTAAATCAGGGTAATCAGTCTTGCTAGTTGAACAACTTTGGTGACCATGCAGCACAGAGGCTTCTGGGGTAGCCTGGTGTCTGAAGCTGGAGTGAGGAGGGCACATGGACAGAAGCACTCAAGGACATTCTTCCTTTCCTATTTGCTGGCTCAGAGTGCTTGTGTATCCTCCACTGTATTCACATGTTCAAATCTGCATTCCTTGGATGATGGTATTAGAAAGTGAGGCCTTTGGGAGATGATTATGTCATGGGATAGAGCTCTCATGAGTAAGATTACTGCCCTTAGAAGAGAAGCCCCAGAAGCCAGGCAGGTCCTGTGGTCCTAGCTATTCCAGGGGTGGAGAATAGGAGACCATTCCAGTGCAGGAGTCAGAGAACAGTCTGGGAAAACAGTGAAACCCTGTCTCATATGAAACAAACAAATGAACACACAAAAAACCCTAGAGAGCTGTCTTGCTTCTGAGGAAATAGCTAGATGGGGCCGTCTATGAACTGATAATGGGCCATCTATGAACAGGAAGTGGGCCCTTACCACATACTGAACCTGGTGTCACTTTGAATTTGGAATTCCCAGCTCCAGAACTGTGAAGAATACATTTCTGTTGTTTATAAGCCATCAAGTATATGGAACTTTGTTATAACAGCCTGAACAGACTGACTATGATATCATGGTTTTTATCTCATTCTCATTTTCATAATTTTCTCAACTTACCCCCAAACCATCTCTTGATGCCTCAGCTTCCTTCAGAATCTGTACTCATTTCTCTTTTTGTAGAAGATCCTCAAGAGCATTTCCAAAGCTCCCTCTCTCTGACCCCTTTTTTTCCTCCTCTTTTGAGCCTGCTTAAGTTAAACTTGTGTCCTCACGAGTCTGCTAATGCTACCTTTGCCCAAGTCTCGAATGACGTCTTTGATGCCCGCTCTAGTGGCTAATTTTTAGTTCCAAATATACCCATTTTGTTTTCTCATCTACAATATTTCATGGTGAAAAATCGGAAGATACACAGGAAGGTAGACAGAGCAGTAGGTGAATACTGATATACCTCATACTTCAAATCTTCAGTTAATCATTTTACACTCCTAGGTGTTTCATAGGCTAGGTTTTTTTGTGTCACATTGAGCTAATTTTCCACTGAATCACAGGATATGTTTTTGACTCCATTAGAAAAATCACTTTATCCTGTACTGGGGAGGAAGTGAGAGAAGTGAGAGAAGTGAGAGAAGGCTAAGTGTGAAATGATGAGTAGTCATCTCGGTCAGATTTTACAAATGACTGAGTAATGTATGCTCTTTGGCAATTGTTCCATTGTTCACATTATACACGTAATAATTCTCTCTTCTTTTTTTTAAAAAATTTCAGATAGTATGAAGGAGGATGATACACCTCAGCTTGCAAAGAACAACCATGGTTTAACAGCACGATCTCTAGCCATAAAATCTGACGAATGGAATAGAGGTTCATATAATTTCATCCTAATTTGCCTTGTAATTTTCTTTTTGTGACAGTACCTCGCAAATTGAGACCATCAAGGAAATACCTGAATTCCTAGAACTAAGGCCACTTTCTTTTCAGTTCCGTAAATGACAGAGATTGCTGTAGCAGTCCATGTATCTGCAGAGCATGAAAGAGAGAGCTTTGACAAAGGATGGGAGGTGGACCACAGAGGGGGTCAGGGACCATTAGGAGTTAAAATTATATTTGTTGACACAGACTATGCCTCAGTCTTATTAAAATTTAATATTATTTTTATATTTTATGTCTGATTTTGGTCTACTATTCCCTTTTTGTAATAACAATGTGATTGACAAATGTGCTAGCTGACAAAGCTAAGATAAAAATTTTGAAAGCTTCCTTTCCTTTGTTTTTTAGCAGTAATTCCACACAGACCTGCTCTTGTTCAAGTGATTTTAGTTGCATGTATAGCCTTTGGCATTGCTGTGATATGTGGGATCATAGTCTTCTGTGTTATACAGTAAGTGTATGCTAAATAGCATCTGTTTTCCTTTAATAATTAGATAAAACTTTGCTAAAGTACTAATTAGTGCTAAAAGAAAATAATAATCATATTAATAATGTTGATGATAATTCTTATAATTGCTAATTATTATTAGTCATTATATGTTTCTAGAGCAGCACTTATCAAAATGTGAATTATATTCATGTTGGGTTGAGAAATAACTGAGAAGAAAAGAAAAGGAAAAAAAAGAGAGAACAGAATACATGTTAGCAGAATGGAAATTCTACAAGTATTAAAGGGTGATTTTTAAACTTTTCAGATAGACACACTCACACATGCACACACATACATAGTCGTGTTCATAAAGGAAAATGTATTTCCTATAGTGAGTCACATTAGAAATGTTTGATACTTCACTATCTTAACACAGCAAAGCTGGGGTAAAGCCTTTTCAACTAATATGGCCATTTTGAAATTAGTAGAAGAAAGTGGTGTCATGCCATTCTAGCCAGAGGCAATGTGCTATTATGGCAAGTACCGTGCTGTTTTTATCACAGTAGCTTTGTAGTATAATTTCAAGTCAGAAATTGTAATGCCTCCTGCTTTTCCTTGATTGCCAATACTTGTTTTTCTATATCTCTTCTATTTCTAAATCAATTTTAGGAACATTTTATCTAATTCTGTGAGGTATTCTAATGGTATTTCAATTAGGATGTATTACAACTGTATAATAATTTTGGAAGTATTGCCACTTTCACTATGTTAATCCTTTCCTATTCATGAGTGGGATATATCTTTCCATTTTCTGATGTCTTCTTTGATATTTTTTAGATTACTATAATTTTCAATGTATAGATCTTTTCTTACTTTATTAGATTGATCCCTAAGTATTTTATTTTTTGGATGCTGTTGATAAAGGTGTGGTTTCTCTAATTCCTCTCTCAGTGACTTTGTTGTTTCTGTACAGGAATGGTATTGATTTTGAGTGCTGACTTTGTATTCAGTTATGCTACTGAATTTGGTTATTAATTCTAGAAGTCTTTTGGTGGAGCTTTTGGGGTCTTATATGTAGAGTATTATGTCATTTTCAAATAATAATAATTTAACTTATTACTTTTCTATATTTATTCCTTTAATTTCTTTCTGTTGTCTAATTGCTCTGGCTAGTGTTTCCAGAACTATATTGAATAGGAGTGGTGATAGTGGATGTTCTGGTCTTGTTCCTGATTTTAGAATGAATGCTTTCAGTTTTGTCCATTTAGTATGATTGGCTGTTGGTTTGTCAGATTGAGATAAAGACCATATATTCCAATTTTGTGAAGGTTTTTTTTAAAATCATGAATGAGTGTTGTACTTTGTCAAATTATTTTTCTCTATTGAGATGATCATGTGACTCTATTAGTGTAGTGTATTACATTTATTGAGTTGTATGTGTTGTAACATCCATGCATCTTTGGGGTGGATCCTACTTGATCTCAGTGTATAAGCTTATTGATAATTTGTTGCATCCTGTTTGCCAGTATTTTACTGAGAATTTTTGCATCAATGTTCATTAGGGAGACTGACCTATAGTTCGCTTTTTGGATGGGCCCTTCTCTGGTTTTGTTACCAGGGATATTGTAGGAGTATTTCTTTCCTTTCAATTTCATTAAAGAGTTTCAGCATTAGTCGCATTAGATTTTCTCTAAATTACTTGCATAATCCATTAGACCTGAGATTTTCTTTGTTGGTAGTGTTTTGATTACATGTTCAATTTCACTGACTGATACTGGGTTATTTTCATATCTTCTTGATTCAGTTTTGGCACTTCATATGTGTCTAGGAATCTCTCCATTTTTTCTTTATTTTCCATCTTATTAGAGTATAGGTTTTCAAAATAAGTATTAATGATCCTGTCTGTTTCCACAGAGTCTTTTATGAGTTCAACTTTTTCATTTATAATTGCATGAATTTGAGCCTGTTATTTGTTTTTAATCATGTTCACTAAGAGTTTATCCATTTTATTTAATCTTTCAAAAATTAACTCTTCAGTTCATTGATTATTTATATTATTTTCTTAATAATATAATTGCATTAATTTCTGCTTTTATTGTTATAATTCCCTGCCTCATATGAGCTTTGGGTTTGATTTATTCTTTTACTAGAAGCTTTATGTTGAACCTTACATTGTTTATTTTAGCTTGTTCTGTTTTCCTGATGTGAGAACTCACTGCTATGAATTTCCCTCTTGGGAATGTTTTTATTGCATCTCCTAAGTCCCAGTATGTTGTGTCAGCATTAGCATTTAACTGAAGATACTTTTAAATTTTTTCTCTAATTTCCTCTGTTACTCATTGGTTGTTTCAGGAGGGTGTTAATTTCCATGTGTTTATGAATTTTTTGTGGTTACTTTGCTGTTAATTTCCATTTTCATTACACTATGATTAAATAATATACATTGTATAGTTTAGTTCCTCTGCATTTACCTAAGCATTGGCTAGTATGTGGTCTATTTTGGAGAACTTTCCATGTACAGCTGAGAAGAATGTGTACTCTTATGTTGTAGTGTGTAAAACTCTGTAGACATCTCCTAAGTCCGTTTGTTCACAGGTTTGGTTTAATTCTGAATTTCCTTGTTGATGTTTTGTCTAGTTGATCTATATATTTATGACACTGGGGTATTAAGGTCTCCTGTTACAATTGTGTATTTATTTGATTATTAATATTTGTTTTATGTAGTTGAGTGCACTGGTGTTTGGTGTATGTATATTTATGATTGTTATTTCTTCCACTTGGAGTTTTCCCTTAACAAGTATGTAGTGACTCTCTTTGTGTCATTTGATCAGTCTTAGTTTAAAGCTCACATTTTCTGTTTATAGAATAGCTACTCTTGCTTTTCTCTCGGTTCATGCAGTATTGTTTTCCATTCTTTGACTTTCAGTCTATGAATTTCTTTATGAGTTGAATGTGTTTCTTATATGCAGCATAGTGTTAAACATTTCTTCTTGATCCACTATGCCAGCCTGTTTTTGTGATTAGTGTATTGAGACCATTTACATTGATAGCTATAAGTAACCTGCATTGGCTTATCTTTCTCATATTATTTTCCTGTTGTTGGTTCCCTCTCTTTCTCTTCTGTTTATTTGCTTGCCCTGCCTGATCACTTGTTTCTTTTAGTGTTCTTGGAATTGTGGTATTCATTATCGCTTTCTGTAATATCCTTTAGGGCATTTTTGAGGGTTTGCTGGTCATGAATTTCTTTAGTTGTTCTTTGTCATGGAAGTATCTTATTTCTCCACTGATTTTTAAAGATAGTTTTGCAGGGTACATCAGTCTGGATTGGAGATTGTTTTCTCTTAAGGCTTCAAATATCTCACTCTGAGCTCTGCTTGATTTGAGGGTTTGTATTGAACAGTCTGCTGTGATTCTGATGGATTCTCCTTTATAGTGATTTGTTTCATTTTTCTAACTGCTTTTAGTATTCTGTTCTTATGCTGAACTTCTTCTTGATTATTGTATACCTTTATGTAGATTTATTTTTCTTATGTTATTTGGAGTTCTATATGCTTCACTTATATTTATGTGCCAGAGAGACAATCACAATAAGGAGAAGTGATCATCTACAGTGCTGTCAGTTTATGGCCAGTCCTAGTCCATCCAGATGCTAAGATCAGCTCCATACCAAGCACAAGTACTACAGGAAGATTTTTTAGTAATGAGTACACTGCACTTTGTTTCCAAGTTAGCTAATATGGCAGTGTACATTGACTTAACTCCTGTAACTGCATTATCTGTATATTTCATTATTATAGAAAAAGACAAAAAATCTAAAGTTTTATAAGGCTTCTCACTAAAATGCATCTCATGGACATCAGTGCTCCGTCAAGTAGCCTAGAGTCAACTCGTGGTCATCACTCTGGGTCACTCTAGTAGGTGCTGCATCAGGCTGTGTCAGAGATTGAGGTGAAAGAAAATGCATGTGGCCCAAAGTGAATGAAGTGCCCAAAGTATTAAATTTTGTGGTTTATCTTTTCTAAATGTAGAGTTTTAAGAACACTACTAGTGAATTTGCTTACATTTAAATCAAGAAAGTAAAATAATGATTAATTCTTGTTTGTTTTGGATAAGACATTTAAACTTAGTGTCATGGATTACACTAATTTTGGAAAAGAATATTCAGTTAAAATTCAGCATGGAATGGTTAGATAGTACCTTTATTTAACATTTTGATATTTGGTTTATCATGGATTTTTTTGTATTCATTTCACTTTTTGAAAATACTGAGTTAAAATATTTAGCTTCATTTGGGGTGTTTTGGGCAATATTTTACATTTAGCAACTGAGGACAGTGACTGTGCCCTATGATTTTTGTTAATTGCATTGTTATTACAAAAGGTACCAATGGTAGAATTTTTAGTGTATAAATAAACTATAAAGGTGGTTATTCATGCAGTAGAAAACTCTTTCAAGGCTGACATGATAATTCTGAAAAACAAAAATCTAGTTGCATTTTGCTTATTTATTTGTGGTACTGGGGATTTAACTAAAGGCTTCTGCACTAATCTACATTTTCAACCCCTTTTTATTTTGAAACAGGGCCTCTCAAAGTGTTTATGTTGTCCACATTGAGCTCAAACTTGCAATTCTCGTGCCTCAGCCATCTGGAGTGCTGGGGTTACAGGTGTACGTCACCAAGCTTAGCTTGATTTGATTGTCTTTACTAATGACCATGACCAAACAGTTCTTGCTGTGTCACAGGATGCTTCTGGAATGGTTTTCTCTATTGCTGTCCATAAGGACATAAATAAACTAATCCAGAAAGTGTCTTTTATTGTCTAAGTTACACAGGGATTGGGGGATAAATATGTCAGGAAAAAGTCAAATGCTACCGTCATTTCCAATTTTAAGAAAAATAGCCAGTCAGTAATTCATTATTAGATTGAACCTGCAGTAACCAGAGTAAGGTATCCACTTCAGGGGCAAAAATTAAGAGAGTGTGTGTTGAAAAACTCAGTAATGAAGATGAATATCATTTTAATGTAGTACTGTCTAAAGTTTGGATTATGGCTCAAAATATCCACAGTGAACAAGATATCAATATTTTAAGCACAGGGTCACTAAAAGTACTGAGTCACACCATATTGGAACCTCTGCAAAGGCAAAATCCATGACACTTATCCTGTCTTTATTTAAAATATTGATATTTCCTTAATCATGGATTTCTTGACATTAATTTTTACTTTATAACATATTTCCCTGTAATACAATTTGTCTTGTGTTCGGATTTTTTCCTCAACTCCTTAAATTTTGTATCCAATATAAGCCCTCCTGTCACTCCTAGTACTGGCTTTGATCTATTCTTTAGGATTATCAGAGTTGTTTCTCACTACAGTAACCAGTTGGTTAGCTTCAAAATTTTAGATCTACCTATGACTAGTCTGGTTTGAAAGTGTATGTATGTCTCCTCCACCTACTGCCACAAACAAGCAACTCCTTTCCATTCAGAAAATACCATGATTCAAACAGGATGATTCTGTGATACTGTGATAACTATACTTCTAAATTCATTTCGTTCTTCTGCAGTCAAATAGTAAAGGCAGAGGAAAGACAACAGCTTACACTGCTTTATGAAAATGTTCAGATTCCACTGTTAGGAGACCAGGAGGGCTCTGAGGACAGTGGATCTGAAGAATCTACACACCTGCTTCCAGAGAATGAAAAGGAGCTGGGCAAGTTCATCATCTCAGGTAGAGGATCCACCAGGATGGCTGTTAGATCCAAGGTCATTGGAGGGCTGGGTTAACAGAGATGGCTTGATTATCAAAGGTAAAGATAAATGGGAGGTTGAGATGAGAAAAATGAATATAAGAAGCCAAATGTGTTCAAATAACACAAATGTGGAGTAGTGCTGTGGTTGCTTGGTGCCTAATGCAGAGCCATTTCAAACCTCTAAGGTAGTTCGGGAAACAGATTTTTTCCAGAATGAAAATTTCCCTTAAACATACTTATTACTGTAGCAGTACTTGCATATTTAGATAGATCCCCAACTTCTCTGTCTGATGTTGAAAAAGGACCCACATCCTTACATGAGACCACAACACTCCTAGGGTCCATCCCAGACCCCTGAGAGAGGCCTACATATCTTTGTGAAGATACAGTGATATAAGCGCTCACAAAAGCCAGGTTTTGTGAAAGCTCTGAGATTTTTGGACCCCTTTCTCAGAATTCTAGATGCAAAATACATAGAATATAGTATCTGACCCAGCATGCCAACCTTCTCTGCTAATGATTCCCGGTATGTACAGCATCAACTTGGTAAGGAGGCCAAGATCAGGAGAGATAATTGATGCTTACTGAAACAGGAGGCCTTCATCAAAATGACTTTTCATTGTATTTTCATTATGCTGGATTATAACTTTATATATATATATATATATATATATATATATTAAAAAACTAGGAATGTATAAAGTTTCAATACAGAAAGTGGAAAAATAATTTTAAAATTCAGTTTTCACTGTTCTTGTCAGACAGGTAGCATTCATTATCCACTAACAATTTCACTGCTTGTACTTTTATTTTTCTGTTTCTTACCTCAACATCTTTTTCTCCTTTTCTGTTCCATCTTGTCTACATTTTAGTTATTAGATCAAAAAGAAGGGAAAATATTGAAAAGGAGAAATGGAGGGAAGAGGAACAGTTACTGAATGAAGGGAATTCTGTATACAAGGCAAAAACAGAGAATCTATGAGAGCAGTAGAAGGCAACACAGGATGTGCTGGCCAAGGTGAAGAAGAAATTGCAGCAATTATGAACGACTGAGAAGGTGAGCAGAGCGAGCTCCCAGAGGACTTGTGGAAGAGCAGTCAAAAGAAAGAAATGTCTGAGTGTGTAAGAAAAAATAAATTCATATGGTATAGCAAGTCTGCAGTCTCATAGTCCATAAATGATCCATGATATTTGGCAAAAATAGAAAAGAAATCCAACTCTGGTAAGTGTGAAAGAGAAATTGTCAGGATTTTCTCCTCTTCCTCCTGAGTATAAATACAAGTAATTTTTTGGGCCATTCTATAGAGTGTGCTAATAGAATGCTTTCGTTAAATACAACGTTCTCAATGATATTTGCTATTAATACCAGTCATTTGTTTCCATTTTACACATGGGGAAACTGAGGTTGTAAAAATAAATATGACACCTTACCAAGGCACACAGTCATTCCTTTCATGTCCCTACTCTGTCTAGGAAGTGGACCTGCAGATGGGAACTATCGTACACATACCCAGAAGTGGTAAGTGTTACAGGATGGCAGTTGCACGTGTAGAATACACAAGACTCAGTCTAAATGGTTCAGTTGCTTTAAGAATCTTCTTGAAAATTCTTCAAAAGTTAACTACAGAGTTACTATGTGATCCAGCAGTTCCATTTGTAGGTCTGTATTAAAGAGGACTGAAAACACATGTACATACAAAAACCTGCACATAGACATTTATAAAAACACTGTTTCTAAGAGTCCAAAGATAGAAACAACTGATATGTCCATCAATTTACAAAACAATGAATGCAATATAATCTGTACAATCAATGGCATGTTTTAGCAGTAAACAAGAATGAAATATTGATGTACACTACCACATAAAGAAACTTCAGAAACATGATGCTAAGTGCAAGAAATCAGATACACATATTGTATAATTCTTATGATTCAAAATGTTCTGAATTGGCAAAGCTATAATTGCAGAAATCTGATCAGTTGTTCTAGTAGCTGATAGCTAAGGGACTGCAAATGGGAATGGGGTTCCTTCCTGTGATAATAAAGATGCTTAAAAATTTGATAGTGATGATGTTCATACAAACTTGGGAATACACTAACATACACTGAGCAGTATGCTCAAAAAGGGCAAATTTGCACATGTGAATTAAGTCTTAATTAAGCTGTTATTGAGAAACAATATTGATCTATGTTGAGATTAAACTGAAACCAAACTCATGTCTTCCAATTCTTGCTTTCAATTTTTATCTCCTCTAAATTAAATTTTAAAACTTAGAACAGGCAATTTGACATGGTAACAGTTGTAAGGAATGTTGGAAGTTGGGACAATAGTCTTTCAGTCAATAGTTGGAACCTGCCTGGGTGGCACCATGAAGGAGGAAGGTGTTTGTGGGTTGGTGGTCCAGCTGTCAGCAGAAACATGGGGTGACCAGGCCCTTCACTGACCACTCATGGCAGCCTCATCTCCAAGGGAAAAGCCAGAAGCTTCTGAGACAAAATTTTACCACAGAGAGATATCAATGTGCAGTTTGGCACATTGTCTGTTTGACAGGTGATATGGATTAAGAACTAGTGGTCAATTTAAGGCCAGCTGGATTACATCAGCATGGCAAATTTTACCACAGAGAGATATCAATGTGCAGTTTGGCACATTGTCTGTTTGACAGGTGTTATGGATTAAGAACTAGTGGTCAATTTAAGGCCAGCTGGATTACATCAGCATGGCACTGAGCAAAGATGTTCCACCTGAGGAAAATTGCCAGGATAAATAGGTGGAGAAGAAGGGAGGTGTTAAGGGCATTAAGGCATTAATGTGTTGTGTTGAGGCATTGTGGGTTCTCCCATGAGTTGTTTGAGCCGTTGGTTCTGGAGACACTCTGGTCCTCATATCGAGCATTGTTTCCTGTCTCCGGAGGGAAGACATGTGCCATTTGGTCTCTAGGATGAACTCATCACTCTGGTTCTTGGCATGTACCTGACTGTGCTTGTCATCGGAGGAGCTCGGGGCCTCCGTGTCGCCGAGGATGGCTGTGGTGCCTTTCAGGACAGCCCTGGTCTTTGTCGTGAGTGTGACTTCTCAGCTCCAGCATAGAACCTTCATCCCACCAGCAAAGCTCCTTCATCCTGCTGGCATAGACTTTCTGGATTCACCCCGCTGACCTTTGGGTCTTCCTGGCACAGATCCATAAAAGAGATTGGTGTAAGTCCTTGTGGGCTCTGGACCTCCAGTTGGATTCGTGGGAGGCATTGTCATGAGCTCTGGGTTCTTAGCTGGACTCATGTGGGACATTGCTGTGGGATTTAGGCTCTTGACTAAATAATCTATGTCTTTGGTGTTGCGGATAGATTTCCTGCATTTTCTTGTGTTAACTCCCGGTGACCATTATAAAAATAATATTATAAACTCCATGTCCTGATTCTAATTGTTTCTGTACAATCCCTAACTACAACAACAGGCTAAGCCATAGATTGGGTGGTTTAATGAGAAAAACTTTTTAACTACTTCATGGTTTTCAATTTTAGAGCCAATATTTTTGGATTCTGGTGAAGGAGGGTGGGAAGGAGAAGGGAAGAAAGGGGAGGAGAGGTGTTTCCTATCTCTTTTTTAAGGGCACTAATCTAATTCATTGGGTATTCAGCCTCAAGGCCTAATTACTTCCTAAAGTCTACCTCTCCAAATATCATCACACTGAGGATTAGAATTTCAACATGTACACTATAGGAAGATACTAACATTCAGTCTATATTAACTACTTTTAATAACATTTTTCTACTCAAGAAATATTTGTTGGGCAGCCACTATCTGCCAGAAGCTTGCCCATATTGTGGACAATATAGTGAAGCTAGTTTAGGTAGTTATCTCATGTATCTAGTAACCAATTACTTAGCTGTATTACCTTCAAAATTAGTGATTTTTAAAGTCATTTAAAAGTAAGTAAGTTGGAATGAGAGGCTGATTTTTTTTAAGTCTTTTTCCTTTTTATTGGTACTGGAGATTGAACTCACGACTGCCTACTTGCAAGGCAGGCACTTATGCCTCTGTGCTAAATCCCCTGCCCCTGAGAAGCTGATTTTTTAAAAGCCCCAAAGTGACTCTGGTGGTGACAGCCAATTATCCAATTGGGAAACCAGGGAAGGTGTTTGGTACCAGGGTCAGTCAACTGCTGTGGAGAGTTGCAGTTTGCCTGAGGCAGAGCCAGGAATTTTCATGCAGGTGTCCCAAATGTCCTCGAAGTGAGAAAATTAGGTCAATGGCCAACTGGGTAGGACACCTTGGCCCCCCACTCCTGAGGAGTCTAGTGACTTCTCCAACCACCAAACCTGCCTACACTCTTGCTTCTCCTTGTTCTGAAAATAATCATATAACTCATGCCCAAATCTTTTGATGGCGCTTTTGGTTAATAGGGCCTCCTTTACTGTGCTATGTATCTACTGTGCTGTGCTTATATATATATATGTGTGTGTATATATATATATATATATATATATATATATATATATATTTCTAAAACCAGTTATCTTTTTTTCATGGCACCTTGCCTGTCTTCCTTGAACACAGTATAAGCCCCATGGGAGGATGTCTGTCTCTTAGATGACCATTGCTTCCTATTGGCCAGTTCTTAGTGTCTGAAGCCAGATATTTTCTGAATAATCTCCTGTTAGCACAGTGAATAAACATGATACCCACTCCCCCATTTGCTTTTATAATTCTTGTTACCCTCAATGTCCCTTTTAATTCTTTCTCCACACTAGTATTGACATTACTTTAATAATGAAGAATCCTGTTTTGGAGACAGTGCAGGTGACTGTTGTTGTCACACGCTGTAATTCTTATTCCCAGATATCTCTACCAAAATTCTATGACAATTTCACTCTTTTTACCATCCAGTGATATTTTCTGGGGCCTAGTTTCTCCTTCTGCTTTTGAAAATTAATAGTCTTTATTACTAATATGCATCATTATTAATACTTCTTATAATTTACATTTCACAACTTTTTCTGAAACAATCCTTAAAATCACAAAGGAAATCATCAATGAGAAGAGATCATGGATTTAAGATATCTCCCACATTTCAGGGTTGAGACAACTTTGTGTCTGTATGTTCCACCTATGAACACTTTAGCCATTGCACTTTATGAAAATAGCATCTCTTTTGCTTCTCTTTTTGAGATTGATTTCAAACTAAAAGGAAGAGAGTATAAAGACATGGAGAAAGATTTATTAAATGTGTCAAAGTATTGCTCACTAAATTGGTCACAGTAACACAAAACTGAGAGGAGGGACATTTTCTGTGGGAACTCCCATGCTAGATGGCCTATGGAGGGCCAGTGACACAGAACATGAAAAGAACTTACCCAGGCAAGAATGAGAGTAAAGATAAGAGTTCATTCAGGCCACTTCGATTGGTGTTAATGGGACGAGTTTCTGGGAGCAGAATAATGTGGTTAGGGTAAGAGATTTGGGTTTTAATTAGGTTTAAGGACATAGAGAGTATATAGCTAATGAGATCATTTAGAGTTTCTTTTCTTCCCTAGACCATTTGTCACGCTATAGATCTTCTAGAAGCACCTGCACTGTATCTAAAATTATATGTTTAAAGTTGCCATTTGAAAGAGCATTTACTTCAGTATTAGAGAAGGCCTTTAATTTCAGAGAAGGAGACCTATGCACATTAATTTTTAGACATGGTGTTTTAGCCTAAACCCCTTGACTACTGTGCCTCCATGTTTGTTCTCCAGATGACCTAATGTCCCCTTACAAAAATGCTTGCACCATGGGAAAGTTAAATAATGCATTCTCTCAGGATGTTTACCAAACCTGTAAAAGCAAGTTAAGTTTACTCAATGTTCTTTCTCAGGGAATGTATGCCTGACTGCAAAAGAAACTGTTAACCATTAAACCTGCTGCTATACCAATCTAGAAACTTGGAAACCCCCTTGCTTGTGATTTTCACCTTGATAAACCTTGCCCTCCTTCAGCTTGGGGCTCTCAGGCTCAGCTTTAAAACAGAGGCTGGTCTGAGGCCTCAGAGCTCAGCTAATAAAGTGCTCCAAATTATTCCAAATTGGAATCTCAAATTATTTGGAACCTGCCACAATGGGTCAGGAAGGAACGAATGGGTCTTACACCAAAGGATGGATTTTACCGTGTGTAGTTTTGGTCAGCATTGTTGTCTTATGACTATAGAGTCTAACAGCAGTATTGTGTTAATGGAAGAGTTCTATGGCTAAGGGCTATGGCCTGTTCATTGAAAATGGACCAGATCCCCACTTTGTACTTGTGGTGCAAAGAGCCCTAGCATCACACGTGTCTTCCTGTCATGCTTCTGTCTACAGTATTTTTCTAAAAAACTTAATATAAGTTTGCAGGGAATAATGCTTACATTCCATGTATGGAGTTGGTACATGGACATAATGCGTCTTTATTCCTTTTCATCCCCTTTCTCTCTCCTTCCTCCATCTCTTGATCCCCTTCCCCTTTGAGAAAGATCTACCTCCCTATTTCCTATTAGTTATCTTTTATTTTGCTCTTTATTTATAATTTGGGTTCCCACAGCATTTGAAATTTTGTCCCTCACTGATCATAGACAGATCTATCTCCTTACTTCCTATCATCCTTTATTTTGCTATTTATGATTTGGATGCCTACAGTATTTTCGAGTTTATTCTTTATTGAACATAATGAGACTCATAAAACTGTGAGGCTTCTGACCTCGTGGGGCCAAATCGCAAGTGGTCATTTTTGTTTTCTCAGTTGGTGTTCACACTGTGACTGAATAAATGACACATCCGTAGACTTCGGGAGCATCTTAGATGTTACACACTTATCACGCGAGTGAACAGCTGACGATAACAATGGACAGGAGTAGAGCAGTCCCTTTTAAGAGGTGAAGGCCTCTGCACAAGACCTGGATCGCTGCTTCCCAGCTCCGCTCACAGAAGGACTTGGTCTCTTCCGCGGTGGGAACTACACTACCCAAAAGGCCCCGCGGCGGAGGGCGTTTCTGTCCGGGCACGTAGCGTTGGGGCGGGACTTCCGGAGGTCCGCTCCAGGCGGTAACTTTGGTTCCCCCGCGCCGTCTGAGAAGCTGTGAGATGACAGGACCGAGAGCCGCCATCCCCTACACAGAGGCGACCCCGCAGAGTCCCCACAGCGCCGGCCACGCCTCGGTGCTCGCTGAGTGGATGGCGCCGGCCGCCCGCAGGGGCCTGGCCCA